ATGTGCGCCTTTCTATGCGCCCTCTAGAGGTACCTCGATGTACCACATTGCGGGCACCGCGACGAATCCTTCCACGACCCCGGCCATTCGCACCACGAGAGTGTTGCACAAAATTGGCTTTTGGCTCGGCGGTGTGAGAAAGGTATTGATGCTGTGGATTGTGAGAGTTGGAGCGACGAGCAAGCTCAGCCTGTACAGCATTGGCCAGAGTGTCAAAGTCGAATTCTTGAAGGGTAGAAACCATAGCGAGTGGGGCAAACGAAGGAGGAAGGGATCGGATAAGCTTGGACGTCTTCTCAGATCCGGAGAGTTCGGAATCGTACGTAGCCAGTTCCCCAACGATAGTGAGGAAAGAAGCGACATGAGTGTCAAAGTTTCCGTGCTCCTTGAAGATGAGAGTGTCTAGCTTCTGTTTCAGGTTCTGTACGACTTGGGTGTTGGACATCGTGAAGATACCCTCAAGCTCCTCCCACAATTCGCCGGCAGTTTTGGCGTCGTCATCCACAAACAGACGAGTTTGGGATGAAACTGCGTTGACGAGGCACAGTATGATGTTGCCTTTGGTGCGAGCGGACTTGAGAGTCCAATCCTTGATTTCAATGCTTGACGAAGATGCCGCCCGACCGGAGGGCCGAGGTTGAAGGCCGACGAGGAGAGGGTCGTTGCGGTGGAGGTAGGCCTTCATTTTTGAACGCCATTTGATGAAGTCGGCGCGGACTTTGAGTTTTGGAACTTTACCCAGGGAGTCGTGGTTATCGTCACCGGCCATAATTCTTGACCGGTGCCGCCTCCAACCGGAAGGAGGCTTCCTTCGGTGCTGCGATATTTTCGCGTGTTGCGCGAAGTGCTCCGCAACTACCTGTGTCAGAGAGCCGTAGGAGGTGGGACCTCTGACCCGTGATATGCTGACCTACTACGAAAGTGCTTCCAAAAGTGCGGAGGTCGGACCTCAGGCCGGTGGTATGCTGATGTACCACGAAGGTGCTTCCAAAAAAAATTGAAGGTCGGATTTCAGGCCCGTGGTATGCTGACCTACCACGCAAATCGATTGCCAAGACTTGAGATGACCCCCAACTTTAACCACAATAACCCCAAACAAAACCAATATAGTTCGTCTTTGACAGCGATAAACAAACTCAAAATGATGTTCCTTAACACGGTTGCGTTCGGATGAAGATGTACTGCGAGACAGTTGATTTCGTTGACGCTACACAAAAGGGAGGTGTAGACCGACACCACGAGTTGACGCAGAGAACTGAGATGCGCCACCCAATCCCAGGCCCGCGGGCGCAATATAGGTTCGAGGGTGGCGCAGTAGTCCAATGCGGCGTTCGCACGCGTGGTTGAGAAGTGGTGGTGGATGCACAGATAGGATGAGTGGAGTAAAGGAGGAAGGAAGGAAGCGCGGGTAGGTGGTGGTCGTTAGGGCGCAGTGAGATCGTTCCTTACCGCGATGCTACCATAAAAGGAAAGTCAGGGGATATGGAGAATGTGTGAGGATGTCTCCTCTCCTGATCGGGTCGACAGCGACCCGGTCACTCCACTTTATGTCAACCAGAGCAAGGCTCTGGTGCGCGCCACTCCGCTGCGCCGTCGTCGGTAGGATAGTGACTAATCATTATTTCTACAATGGTACGTAACCTAAATCATCATCAGCCAACCATCTCACGATGGTGGCGGTCATGGAGCATTTTCATTGGACTGTTGGCTTTCGCTAAATTACAGACACGCGCCTGCGCTCAACAGTAATCGTGCGTGTTGCGATTCAATAAATGCGCCACGTTGAGAAAACAGGAAGCGATTCCACTTGTAGATAAATGTACCGTAGTTTCGGCGTTTTGAAGGCTTTTGATTGAATCAAAACCAATCATTCTTTGGTATTTCTATTTTAAATATTCAAAATCGTTCCATTTTAGGGGCACCCCCCTTTAGGGCGTCTGCAGTGCAGCATAGTGCGTTTGCAGTACGAAGGGTACCGTTGGTACCCCCAGCGCCTACGGACTGGAATATCCGCACTCGAGGCCGGTGGACAACCCACACTTATCTACTCCCACGAGCCCCCCCCCTCCGTGTTTGCCTCCCGGCAGACTCTCCTGTGCGGCGTGATACGCCAGCCCGTTCCCACGCTCTAGACTCGAGAGAATTGCTGCAATGCTTGTTTTCGACCAGGACAACGCAACAATTCCTCGCATCGTCACTTATTATGAACTATTTCATCTTTGGACCACACGTTACTTGTTGGGGCTTCGGCGCATCTACGAGCGTCCCCTTCCTTGCCTACACTGACGATTTCCTCCAGAGCCTTCCTTCTCTCACCACAGCCAGCAGCCGCTCCCGTAAATCCCATCTATCCCACCTTGACCGTGTTCTTTCTCGCAAGTATCCCTTCACTTCACGGTACACGATTGACAAAGACGAGTCATTACAGTGAGCTCTCGTCTCTGCAAGTAAACACACCCAGACTTTCACATCAAAACCTCCTAGATTCTTCCAAGTCACTCGCACACCTCGCTTTCTTTGCCAATATGGCCTTCGACGATCTCGCTGAAAACACCATCATCGTCCTGTTGGCCTACACCGCCGCCTTCCTCCCGTGGACTGCTCTCACCACCTTTGACTTTATCTCTGCCAAATGGCGCAGGGTACGTGACGTTCGTATCGCCGGCTACGTCAACCTTGTTCTCGCGCTAGTCCCGGCAATCTACATACTGTTTTACATGGTCGTGCAATCCAATGTCGATCAAAAGGAGATGTTCACTGCGCTGGTCGCTATGCTGTTTGCGTTGCTGCACGTTGTGCGGACGTTATGGGGACTGTGGCAGTTGCAGCTATTTGTCAAGTGGGCTGTCAAGAGCATTAAGTCGTTGCGGGCCCTTGGGATTGAATATGAGCTCAACACGGGCGCCAGTACTGGCTATGATGGGAAGAAGCAAACCCAGAATGGCGAAGAAAGAGAACAGGAAACCACGAATATCGGTACTACGCAGGAGCCCGGAAATACCGACGACAAGGAAAAAGTGCACTCTGTGGCTGAAATTGTAGATGAACTATGGGTGAGCGATGAACTGATTGAGAACCGTGTGTCCCATGGGAATGCTCGGTGCTACATAGTGTTTGACAAGATTGAGTTTAGAATAGATCCAAAGAGAAGAAACGTGTTTCGTCAACGCATCGTGCTTCTGTTACAGGCGCTCTCGATACCATTTCGGTATGTGTATGGAATAGTGCAGAAATGGCTTGGGAATGGGTCTATACCCTGCTTTGTCCAGGTACCGCACGAGCCAGAGGATGTGTGGCTGCGATGGTGCGTGGCGTTTGCGGCGCAGGGGTTGAACAAGTGGATAACGGAGTTCACCGTTGCGCCGGAAGTCGATGATGAGGATGGGGCGATAAATAACTTGGAGCGGTACGAAAGACGACGAGAACACCTGGCTGGGCGCGTGCTGGCAACGGCCGGAATACAATTGTGGCTGGGGAGTTGTTTGCCGCTGGGTGAAGGCAAGTCGCTTTTGTCAAAAGAGGGCTTGTTGCGACGAGCGATGACGAGTGGACGTGGAATGCCGTTCGATGCAGTGCAGAGGAATGCGGTCTTGCGGCCTGGAAAGGGGTACAAGGCCTATGAGAGAAAACTAAATCGATTCATTGGTGGAATTCCGGTGGAGTTTGAAGAACAAGTGGAAGAGTTGGACATCGAGAGAGTGGAGTGGCTTGCGATTTTGCTGTACATAGGAGAAGAACAGATTGGCAACGGAAGTGCGAGCAGAGATTCTCGTAGATCTGAGGAGTATGAGAAACTGGAGCATGACGATTTAGCGATTGAAAATATGCGAGCACAGCTGGGTATGGACAACAGAACTTCAGGAGTGGATGCAGCGGAAAGAAGGAATGCTAGCATATGCGGATTTCCGATGCCAGAACGATACTTTCATGAAGTATCCAAGGAGAATAGACTGGTGACCAAGGTCGGGGAGCTTGTCGACTGCTGGTTAGCGCTTATGGCGGGAGTGCAAATGCAATTCCTGGTGAGTAAAGACGAAGAATGGCTAGGACGTTGTCTGGGTCAAGTCGAACATGACCAAGAGACTGTGGTGAGCGTAGAAGGCGTGGAGATGGGAGGGATGGAAAAGAGGGGGAGCAGCCTCTTCATGAGACATGTTCGAATTGAAGAAGCGATGCAAGCATTCCAGTTTGGAGTCGTGGGTCAAGAGTTTGAGCAGTTGGAGCAGACATTGACGTTTATGGGATATTCGCTGGAGAGCGTGCGTACGAGACTGGGAAGGTGGGTGAAAGCGAACACGGACTCGCAGAGTGGGGCGTGGAGGCCTTTGATGTTTCAAGCGGGGGAGTTGATATCGGGGTGGACGGAGGTTGGGCGTGTATCGAATGATGTGTCACGTACCCTGCGGCAGAGAGAAGGGAATGCAGTACTGAGGGATCGGGCGGTGCAGTGTCGTGTAGTGTGGGAGTTGCAATGTGTTTTGAGGGAAGGGGTATCGGGAATGGAAGGGAGCCCGAGCAGTATGGTAGCGGTGGCGCTTTGCATGGTCAGTTTTCCGTCGCTGGTTGTGATGAATACAGAAGAAGCGAGCGAGGAAATCAGTGACACGGATGTGCGGTCAAGCGAGGCAGGGGGGGTGGCAATCTCGGAAAATCGAGATAGTGTGTCAGTATCATTCGGGAATGAGCAAAGAGGTAGGGATGCGGAAGAAGAGAGGAAGAAACGGAGCGAAGAAATGTTTGTGATAGTGCCGATTTGTGGGCCTCAGAGAATGAGGCTTCAGGTACAAGTGGGCGACGATGACGATAGGAGCAATAGAGGTGGAGCGGGCGATAGAGGATGCAAAGTGAGAGTACGGTTGTGCCGGGGGGCGACATCGCGAGATGAGCGGTTTGAGTGGGGATGGTGGCGGGAGGCAGCGTTGGGACGTATGGAGGGATTGAGGCGATGGCAGAAGAATCATGGTATGTGTTCGCCAGACTTGCATGCCGGGCACCGGAATATGACGTCAGGCATCGTGAGTGTAAAGCCAAGAGCACACAAAACGGGGACAGAGGTTGAGATGTGGTCGGGATGGGAACCGTTTCGAAGCCAGCAATGCAGATTTGAGCTAGAAGGGGACAAAGTTCTTGCGAAATTTGAAGTGAGCATGCGACACGGTGATCTCGTTGTTAGAAAGAAGAACATTACGACATTGTACACCCAAGCCGTCGGGGAGAGAAGGTTCGCGGTGTACGAAGACAATGACCGCGAGGCCTTACAAGACGGATGTTTGATAGTAGGAGAAGCACTGGTTGATAAGTCGCCAGGTTGCTTGAGCTCAGTCAGGGATGGAGTATATGAAGATGAAGAGTTTGCGAAGAACCTGCCAGCAAAAGGCGAAAATGTTATTGGGGAAGAGTTGGGCCAGGTCCGAAGAGCCATTTTTCTGTTGAAGGTTGCTGCACTGGAGCATGGTGATATGAACGCGTTGCAGAGATGCGTGAAGCTCCTCACCGACTCGAGTGAGGAGATGACAGAACACATGATATTGACGAACAGGCGACGAGCTGGAGAATTGGTGCTAGCTTTTTTCCACAGTGTTTTTGTGAGCAGAAAGGGGAGTGGCGGGGTCAAGGGGGGTGGAAGAGAGTTTGAAGCGTTGTTTTCATTATTACAAGAGCTTGTGGAGAAATCGGCTTTTGACAACTATGTCGTGGATGTGGTTCTGGATTTTCTGAAATGCGCAGTAGATCTGAGTATACCTGAGGATGTACGAAGCTGCCTCATATGGATGCGAAGGTTGATAGCAAGATCACTGAGATTGGATAAGTTGGATTGTCTTTGTCGCAGTTTTGAAGAAATACTTGGAGCGGAACGAGGGCAAAGAGTGGCTATCCGTCGGAAGCAGTTGTTCTTCACGGACAGTGAGGTGACCGAGTACGACGTGCGTACTGTTAACATTTTGGAAAAGGCTCTTCTGGAACGCCAGATTGAGGAGCATGATGATGTCTACGCGATGAACAAGCTAGGACTGATGCTGCATAACGGCGCAGAAGGAGTAGAAGCCGATGCGGTACGCGCATTGGAGCTTTATGAGCTTGCAATATCAAAAGGCACTAACTGCTCTGCGATGTACAACCTAGGTTGTTTGTTGGAGAAGGGAGGGGAGGGGGTCGAGAAGGATGCGGTACGAGCCAAGGAGTTGTTCGAGCGTGCAATCAATGAGCATGGTCATGTCGGGGCGATGAACAATCTAGGACTGATGGTGAAGGAGGGTGCAGACGGAGTAGAAGCCGATGCGGTACGCGCAATGGAGCTTTATGAGCTTGCAATATCGAAGGGCAGGAACGGCATTGCGATGTACAATCTTGGTATCTTGCTGAGAGACGGGGCAAAGGATTTGGATTGCAATTTGGTGCGCGCAGCTGAGCTGTTTAAGATGTCCATTGAAGAGAGCAACGATACAGACGCAATGGTGGAACTGGGAAATCTGTTACGCGATGGAGCGGAAGGAGTCCAGCGGGATACAGATCGTGCATGCAGATTGTATGAGAGGGCCATCAAAGAGGACAACCATTCCGAGGCTGTAGAGAATCTTGCTGCGCTGCGCGATGCTGAGATAAATGAGGTCACAGAAGACGGAGACTGAACGATTTCAGAAGTCAGCAAGAGCACTCTCCCGAACGGAGATGGCGGGTGCCGTCGGGGAGAGCAGAAGGGAAACCCGAGGCTCAAGGCGAGTTTCCCTTCGTTAAGATCCCTGTAGAAGATGGGATAAAGACGTGGTTCCTACCGTCCGGTAGCGACGGGTAGATCGCCGATGCTGAGTTCAACTCCTTTATCGGGACAATGAACTCAGAGGCAGCGGCCGGCGCTAGGGCGCCCGCCTCAGGCTGCACCCGGAACGGAGAACGGAATCAGGACTTGTCGAGGTGGCGCACCGGAGGAGTCCTTTTGCTCTCGCCCCGTCGCCGCTTTAGCTTTCAACACTCATTTGACCTGTTGTGGTTGGTCGCTGGTGCCATCCACGGGCATCCCCGACAACCCCGTGACGGACCACAAGGACAGACTGTCCGCATTACAGTCTGTCATCCGCGGTACTTAGACCCACGGGACGGCGACGACGAGTAAAGACGACCCCATGAGGATTACGATTCATCACCCCGAACCGGTTAAGCAGCTTCGTTCGGTCGTGCCGTATTTCGCCTTAGTAGTGTCCTGCGCTTCCACCTCCGCCCCCGCTCGGGTTACACGCACGCACTAGTATTATGTGTAATGCGCAAGAACTTGACAAGTAGGGTTGACGACTCAAGCTCCGAGAGCGAGGCGCAAGATGCGAGAACTTGACAACTTGAACGGATCGCTTCGTATCTATGTTTCATTTTCAATGTGCACGTAGTACAATGAGATATCCCTCTCCAGATTGTGCGAGACCCTGTATGCCGGCGATCGTGTCAGAGAGCGGAAGAGTGGGAGACTGCGCGCTCCGATCGCGATCCGAGCAGTCGGTCTTCTTCCTTTCTGGCCTTGCCAAGGATGTCGAAAAGACTGCCTGTTGCACTTCTATGCGGCAGTGGCTAGAGGAACCTCATCCCCACCAACTACGTCCTCTTCCAACGATCACCGCCGATATCCCCTCTTGTTACACCCGAACCAATCATGTTTGTCAGCCCCAGCAATCAAGAAGTAATCAAACTTTACTTTCACAAGTGTTTTTACTCGCAGCTCTAAAAGATACGCATCTCAAACCCAGCATCTGTGTGCATTCGCACTTGATTGTAAAACCAGGTATTCGATCGCCACTTGCTTGCATTCCACCACCACCGTTAGGGCGTAAAAGAGGCCCCATTTCCGAACCAACATTCTGTGAGCGTCCGTATAGTTTCCTCGTTTTCCTCGACTACATCTCAGAAGCAAGGTTTCTATAGTGCTTTCCAACTCGCTCCCTGAACGTGGTGGGAGCCCAGTTGTGCCCTGCCCATGTTTTGCGTTTCCGTTCTAGAGGTAGTGGTCGACAGCATGTTCTCGCACCTGCTGACAGCTGCTGGGCGAGATACCGAGCTGGTTGGACATAAGAACTGGCGAAGATTCCAAACGCCGCGAGACTCGAGTGTAAAATCTACGTTTCAGCACGGTACAGTTGGTCTCTATATGGGATACTCATTCTTTTCGAAGCGCCCTCAAGGAGCTGGCGGGTGCAATCGAAAGGGGAGGGAGATAAGCAAATGATACGAAGGGTTTTTTACAAACGACTGGAAATGCGTGGATTGGAATACTTGTGGTTTGCAACAATGAGGGAATCGTGCGATTTTCTTTGGGCTTCATTTCCGCCTAGCGCAGTACTCTATAGCGCGACGTGCGTGGGCGTTTGTTCGACACACGACATTTATTGTTGGAAAAGTGGCTCTAGTGTTTTTCGATCATTTGCCAAAGAGAACTTGGAAGCTGACCTTGGAGCATCATATTAACGGTTGAGATACTTTGTATAAGCTCTTGAATGTGAATGGCTCTTCCTCTGTATGTACGTGTACAAGGGTGAGGTGGTGGAGTGTTACATAATTGCCATTTTGTGCAATGGGCGGCGCACGTCGGTTCGCGGATGTCGCAGTAGCAGTAGCAAGAGCCTCGAGCGGTCGGGCAGCGGTTGGAGTGGAGTTGAAGGGGGACGCCCGATGTACGTGGTCCGCCCGAGTTTGTGTCGATGGCGGCGCTGTGGTGACGACGAGCCAAGCACGTTGCGCCGCGATGTGGAGGAGGATGTAGGTTGCAGTGCTGGGACCAGCAAACAACGACGTGAAGCTCAAAGTTGGTCCAACCTGATCTACGATCTAACAGGCGCCTGCTCTCCCTTGCTCCCAGGAAGAGAGGAGAGCAGACGCCAATTAGATTAGGCTTCGGGAAAGTAAGGCCGCGACACAGGAGATAATGCGCACGTACTTTGGAAGGACGCAGTGTGGGCCCCGGCGGAGCTTCAGACTGGCCAAGCCGCCTTACTACACGACGGATCGTGTGATAAGGCGGCTTGGCTTGGCTGGGCTGGGCATGGCTTAGCTTGGCTTGTGAGAAGGTCTTGCGCACCGGCACTGTGAAGCGGCAGCAGTTGGCCCAGCCACCGCAATTGTGCCGCTGCGTGTGGCATCGTCATCGCCCCCAACTGTGCGGGTGGCCACGCTGTCAGAATTTGATTTACAGAACAAACGGCAATGCCCAGAAATGCCGTCGTCGACGACGTCGTCGACGAGGGATCCCGGATGCAAGGAGCCGACTGTTCAGAGGACCGCAGATTCTCCAATGTCCGGCGGAAGGGGAAGGTCGGCAGGGGAGAGCGGGACGAGATGTGTGCGGATGGGGCCGGCTAAAGGTCGTCGAGGGCCACAGGAGTAGCGGGGTCGTTGAGGTCTGCGAGCGGGCTGTTCGTAAGGGAGCGCGTTGCGCGAGAGTATTGGGCCTCGCGATGGAGGCGGCGGATGACACCGGCAGTGGCGGCCGCGTCGAGAGCCAGAGCGGTGAGCGGCAGGGGAGGCGTGAGGACAGTAAAGTCGTCGTAGACGCGGCAGGCGTGAGCGAGAATAACGGGCGATGGTGGCAGAGGCGTCAGCGGGGCGAGAGAGGGGTAGCGGCGAGTTGAGCGCTCCGGCGGAGGGCCGCCTGGGTGGTCTCGAAGAAGGCGAACGAGAGGGCCGGGGGCGCCGTTGGAGCGATGGCGATCGAGGTGCTGG